GATTAGCATGGCCCCTGCGCAAGGATGACACGCAAATTCTTGAAGCGTTCCATTTTTTTTTTAAAAAAAGGAGACATATGTAATACTCTTTGTAATACTTTAAGCAATAAAAATAAATAAATAAATAAATAAATAAATAAATAAATAAATAAATAAATGAAAGAAAGTGGATGGAGGTAAACCTACTGCAGAGATGATGCCATCTGTTAAGAGGGGGGTTTGTCCCAAAGTTAAGCACCTCACATTATATCACGTTTTAATTGTGACTGAGTTAATAATGTCAAGTATCCAGAAGCATTACATTTAAATTATTTATGTGCTTTTTCTCTTTTTCTTTGGTTGGTAAATGATCAAAAGTTTTCTCTCCTTTGGTTGAGTGAAATTGGTAAAAAATCAATAAAAAAAATCAGGAGATCCAGAAGTTAGGTGTTATGGACATCTAACAGAGTGAGCAACACATTTCTTTTGGGGTGCTGTTGTTTGGGTAGAAACAGGAGACTCGGGATAAGGAGCTGTGCAGTCTCTCGGGGCCCTCAGCTGCACGCGCTGTCCCATCTGTTCTTGTGGCTGTGTCGTAACATCAGTTAACAAGAGCTGCGAAGATGGTGCAGTGGCCAAGATGTCCTAGGTGGTGGTTGCTGTGTCCCCATACTTGGGTTTAGGGAATGGCATCAGTGGCCACAGAAAAAATGGGCTTCCAGGCCTTTAAACCTTCTCTTCTTTGGACTTTTGATTTTTTCCCCAGGCTCCTGAAGCAGAGACATATGGGATCAGTAAGAAGCATTGGATGCTGTGGTGAGGGGTGAGGTAGATGAAGGGTGTCTATATATATGATGGTGATGATGGGAACACTAATTATTATCATAATGACTATCATTCACAGTGTGTCTTCTGGACATGAGAGTGTTCACAAATTATCTCTCTTAATTCCTGTAACAACCCTGTGCTCTTATTATTCCCATTTTGCAGATCTGGAAGGCGAGGCTCAGGGAGGTTCAGTGACTTGCCCATTGTCACACATTGAAATAGCTGATATTTGAATGCAGGCTCTTAACCATTGAGTTATATTGTCCCTCTTAAAAAAAACAGGACTACGTTACAAATAGTACTCTCTTCAGTTAACACACACACACACACACACACACACACACACACACACACACACACACAACAAAACCAACACCAAAACAAAAGTTGGCACATTTCCCCAGTTTCAGCCTCAGTTTAGATTCAGAACGGAGGTTTCATCACACACATTCCTGACAGGTGAGAACAGGGCCAGGACCTACAGAAAGGTTCTCAGCGTCCTGGAAAAAAAGAAAAGAAATGCAATTTTCTGATCAGATCTCCTGTCAGGTGAAAATGGAATTTGGGGCAACTTATGGAACTTTCTGGATATATGAGAATTTAACAGACATCATCATTCACATGTTTTTAGTGATTCCCTGAAGATTTCCCCCTCCTTACAACTTTTTAAAAAGAAGAGGTACGTTTGGGAGGCATGCATTATGGAATGATTTATCTTAAAATGATTTCTATGTTTCTAAGAAATTCTACAGAGGACTTTGCAGAAATAAAACTAATATTCTAATTTCATGTTTTCACATTGCAAGACCTTTTGTATTTTTCTGGCTAAGAACTTTAGTAAGTAGTCATGATAAATTTGATTAATGAAGCTTCCTGGTTTCCTCTTCCACATTTCCTTTCCCAATGACTTTCAATAGTGTCCTGCCAAATCCATTCATCTGTGTCTCTGTGTGTGTTAATGCACGGGAACTTAATTTAGAGTCTGGTTTATTTATTATGTTTAGTACCAACTGAGAAAATGTAAAATGTTGCTCAGTGAGAGTGGAAATGTTTGTTATTTGTTAATTCATTAAACAAAAATGTTTCGTTTACCTACAATATGCAAGGAATTTACTCCATGCCAAAGGCATGTCAAGATAATTACAGAGCCTGGAAGCCAACAAACATAAATTTAAATCACTTACATTTTTCTTCCTCTGATCAGATCCTTCCGTGTTTACACAAAGGAGGCATAGATGACATGGCTCTAAACTGGCTTTTCAGGCTCTGGTGTTTATTGTGCACAGTCCAGAGATAGCTGAAGGGAACACATGTATTTTTAAAGGGTGAGCTTTCCCTCCCTGAGAGACCAGGCCAGGCCCCACTGGCTGCACTTCCCAGCATAAAGGCATGGTTTAGTAACTTTAAAATTCAGAATAAAAACACACCTAAGCCCTAGCTGTGTGGCTCGGTTGATTGACTCGTGTCATTCCATACGACGAAAGGTTGCAGGTTCATTCCGGTCAAGGCACACACCTGGGTTGCAGGTTCAATCTCAGGTCAGGGCGAGTAGGGGAGGCAACCGATGTTTCTTTCACATTGATGTCTCTCTCTCTCTCTCTTTCTCTCTCATCAATTAACATATCCTCAGGTGGGGATTAAAAAAAAACACATACCTCAAAAGGTCTCTGACTAGAAAGGGCTGGGGGCATGAGAGGAGGAGAAAGAAGAATGTCTAGAAGATTCTGAGCTTCGAGAAAGAATTTAATTCCTCTTGGAGCTTCTCTCTTGTGCCTGCTGCCCTTTTCCTATTCGGGTCCAGCTGCCAACACAGGTCTCTGGCGCTGCCCCCCTTTGTGTTCCTTCCTCCTCCTGGCATGCACGTGGCCATGACCATGGCTGGAGCTGAGGGAGCTGGATTTCTCTTTAAAGAGGCAGCTGCTTCCCAGGGTATCCGCGCTTCTTTCCAGATGAATATATCATCTTTCTCCAGTGGAACATATCACATATCATCTTTCATAACTTCTTCATCCAAACATCACATCAAAGTAATGCTATTTTTTTCCAGCAGCCTCTACGCTTGAGTACAGTACATGCTTATGCACATATTATCCTTCTAGGGTGTTTTTTTTTTTTTTTCATGCATTTCTGAAAATCTGCATTTCAGGTATTTTTCCTATTTACTTGTAAACTTCCAGCTATGCCTGTGATTGCATCCAAAAGACCACAACTAAATCAGACTAGTGCAGGTCTTCTATCGAATTGGCCATGGTTTTATTACATAGTTCTACCAACTGATTTTAAACTGTATTCCATTTACCTGACATTCCCATAGTGGAGAACAAATCTAAATCTTCTTCCTTGGTCTCTTACGGGGTGCTTTGCACAGGGGGTATTTAATCATCGTTTGGGGACTCCTAGATCTGAGAGTATACTATCCAGAGGCTGGTGAGCAGCCCTTTTCTATCTCTAGATTTGATGGAAGAAGAGGAACCTGGTTTGAATGGTGGGGGAAGATTTAGGTTAGATACAAGAAACAACTTAAACCTTGTAAGTCTTGACAGAAGGAGATTGTGGAGTTTTCCTTGAAGGTCTTTGAAGAAGAAGGAAGAAACTAATCTTGACAGATAGCTTCAGCTGCTCTATTCAGGGGAGGGAAGGAGAAGCAAGTGTTGACATTCAGCTCAGAGAATTAGCTCAGTCACGATGCCCCTAGAAATGGAATCCAAGTCCATACTTGGACCGGAAAATTGTTTCCCTTTCCCAAATAATAGCTTCTATTTATTAAGTGTAGAGCACTTTTTCTCCATTTTATCCCAGGCCTATAATAAGCCTTTAGGGTAGTTATTATCATCCCCATTTCATAGACGAGGAGACTGGGACCTACTGGGTTAAATAACTTGCCCAAAGTCATACAACTGGTAGGTGGTGGAGCAGAGACTAAAATCCAGATCTCCTACCAACTCAAAGGCTGTGCCCCTAATTATTACATGGTATGAAATCCTTTAGCGAGGGATTGGATGTCCGCATGGATGCCCGTGGGCATCCTGGGATCGTAGAAAATGTTTGCCATTGAAATTTGCAGCTTCCAAAATGGGAAAAACAACTTGGGCGCTAACCTGAATTCACGACCTTACTCGACTTGGGTCACAGGTTTCTACACAGTAGATTTTCACCAAATTTGTGTTGACTGACTCTGAAAACGGACTAATTGTCTTTAGGATAGGAAGGAAAGCCCAGTGCAAATCATTACTAAACCAATGCTTATTGAATGGTATCAGGATTTAAGCCTCTAATCTGCCAATGTGTAGACAGCACATTCCAAATATTTTGCTATAGTGTTTTCGAATGAGTTTATGTTTCTTTAAAGGGGAGATTAAACAGCATCTAGTTATGACTTTTAGAAGATTATTGAACCTACTGGATGAATTAATGTGATCACTTTGGGTTATATTATTTTTAGAAATATTTGCACTTCTAAGAAAAAAAGAAGGGTCTCTTACCCTTTGACACAGCATGGAGGGTCATGGAGAGCATTATGCAAAGCAAAATAAGCCCATCAGAGAAAGACAAATATCACATGACCTCACTCATACGTTGAATCTAATGAACAACACAAACTGATGAATAAAATAGATCCAGAGAAATAGAAGCATAAAACAGACTGTAGTATCTCAAAGGGAAGGCAGGGGAGGGTGGGAAGTGATCAACCAAAGAACTTGTATGCATATATAGATAACCCTTGAACAGAGACAATGGTGAAGACCTAAGGCCAGGGACGGGCTGGCTAGAAGGAGTCAATGGAGGAAAAAAGGGGACATATGTAATACTTTCAACAATGAGGATTTAATTTAAAAAATCAGAATCAGACAAAGTTGACGGAATGAAATCTATATCTTAACTATTATATATTCTTGATCTTTCTGCATTTTATTACTTATATTTCCATATTGGGTTTTCATCTACTTCTTAAGGATCAAATTAAATGATCTAATTAAGCACTGTAGAGGTTTAACTGCATAAGGAATAATGCAATGAATGAACTGGAATAAAAGATTAAACAAATAATAAAGACCTTTGGTCTGATTAATCTAACCATATAAACTGTCACCCAAATGACTGACAAAAATAATTAGCACATAAATATTTTAAAAATACTTTGTGCTAAAACGAGAATAAGCTAATAATCATCTTGCTTTTGAAAATGTTAACAGTGGCCCTGGAAGGGATTTGGAGCATCAAAAGGAATTTCCCCGTGGGAGGCTTGAAGCCAGGACTGCCCAGCAGAAACACGTTACTGCCACAAGCCAAGTACTATTCGAGGCACGGAGGGCTGAGAAGTAAGACCCCAATACCCCGACTTCCTGCAAGGCCCTAAAGGCACAGAACAGGTTACACACCAGTGGTATATGCTTTAGTCAAAGTTCTCAATCAAAATTCAATCTTCTTTTGCCTTGCTTCTCTCTGGTTACTTTTAGGTTAGCCACATTGCCTCATTGTGGAATTTAAACAGTAACAGTGCAGCTAACCAACTGACCCCATGTATGCAACGGACGTTCATGCTCTGAGTTGCATTTCTCTTTCCTTTGCTTTGTATTAGCCACGTAAGAGACTGTAGCACGCAGTCAGCCTCAGTGGGGAGGAATCTTGCTTCCTGATGGATGACCTTTGTTTACCAGTGGAAATGGGGAGAGGGGGGTGAGGAAAGTAAGGGAGAATAAGGCAACCGCTTTGCTGGGCTCCCTTGATTTCACCCTATTTTACATAGGAGGCCACCAGTCTGGGTGCAGTGCACTGCTCCTCACAGACATAACGTTTAGAACAAAATATTCTTCATTCTTCACTGTCACAGCCAGTGTCTGCCAGGAACACTTGTGGCAGGATGTGGAGAAGGCAGGGGTCTTGACATGGAAGCACAAGCAGTGTCCAGGTAGTCTAGGGACATGAAACTGGGTATACAAATCCTAAAAATATCTCTACAATTAGGAGGTTACCCCAGAGTGAGAAGAGAGAAGGGGGTAAGTGCCAAGCTCGGGGTTACTCAAGTGAGATTCATAATAGCACATGCTGTGTAGCACTTACGATTCTAGATTCTTCACATATATTAATCTTTCTCATCTTTACAACAATCACATGACACAGGTACAGTTCATTTCACAGATGAGAAATTGAGGCACAGAAAGGTTGAATAATTTACTAGAGTCACTCAGCTAGTCAGTGAAAGTGCTGATATTCAAACCCAGGCAGCTAGTCTTCGTGGCTTTTAACCACTAGGCAAGACTGCCTCTTTGAGACAAACAGTGACCAAGCCTGGGTGTCTGTTGAACCTGGAGTACAGTGAGAGGTCAGCAAAAGTGGGACAAAGGAGAAGGGTTCCCAGGGAGACAGCCTCTGGAATATGAAATCAGTAGAAAGAAAATACTGCCACTAAGAAACTAAGACACAAGTGAATACAATCAAATAAACAGAAACCCTTGCTGCTATAGGAGATTCATGTAGCGAAAAGGAACCAGTATGGAGACCTGGGTTTAATAGGTAGTAATAGCCACCATTTACCATGTGGCAGGCCTGGCAGTGTCTTATATAGTTCTGTAATCCACATGATCCCATGAGATGAGATGTTTAATCTCCGTTTTCCAGGTGAGAAATGAGGCATAGAGACATTGCCTTACCCAAGATCCCATGTCTAGGAGGTAGCGAGGACAGAACTACAAACTCTGTGTCCACCCAACTTCTGAGACTATACTCTGAATCACTGGGCCATCATGGCAGAGACTCCAGTCACTGGAAAACAAGGGTGGAACGAGTCGTGGTGATTAAACAGGCACAATGCCAGGGCTATGGGATTGCAGGGTTAGAAGTTGGGAGGCAACTACACTCAGAATCTACAAAGATATCTGTGTCATGAAGCAATGGTTGATTCAACCCAAGTCTGGGCCACGTGCCCATTGGGGGCTGTTGATTTCAACTTTCCACCCAAGTTGTCAGGTCCACTTACAGTGGGTAAATCCATCATTCCAAGCAAACTTGTAAAGCAATTTATTTTCAAGGTGAATAATTTTCTAAATGCCGTGTTACAAGACTGGTTTGAAAAAACAAAATTACCTTCATTTGAAGACATAAAATAGATTTACCCAATTCCTCAATTGGGGACATATGATTTAAAAATATGTTTCATTTTGACCATAATTGCATTACTTCCATCCATACAATGTAGGAGAGGCTTGTTCATGGCTCCTGCTCGTTGTTACTCACCCAGACTGCCTTCCTAGGAGGCCTCAGCCCTCTGTCTCCAGCCCATGTCAAGCCCTTATAGTGATCATGTTACCATATGTAACTGTTACGGTTATCTATCTTTGCTTCACATCAGTAAGCTGCCAGCCACATTTTGCCATAAGAACTGCCACTATCTGTATACAAATTATAACTGATTGGTCAATATGAATCAGACCAATAACTAAGAATAAAACATTTCTCATCATTAATGAAAAAAGGTAGAGAGGTACAAGGCACAGAAATAACATGGATGAACAAAATCTACAGGTAACTCAAAATTTGATCAGTAGTAATTCATACACTATCAGAAGCTCATGAAGGCAGGAACTGTGTCTCTTTGACTCACCATTGTGTATCTAGAACAGTGATGGCGAACCTATGACATGTGTGTCAGAGGTGACACGCAAAGTCATTTTTTTGGTTGATTTTTCTTTGTTAAATGGCATTTAAATATATAAAATAAATATCAAAAATATAAATCTTTGTTTTCCTACGGTTGCAAATATCAAAAACTTTCTATATGTGACATGGCACCAGAGTTAAGTTAGGGTTTTTCAAAATGCTGACACGCCGAGCTCAAAAGGTTCGCCATCACTGATCTAGAACTTAGCACTGGGCCTGACAGGCTAAGTGCTCAATCACGTTTTGTCACGAGAATGACCAATGAATGATGAACCGGCACATGTGTGATGAATGCATACTATATGTTCAGAATATTCTTGCTGCTAACTCACATCTCCCCTTCCACAAAAGTATAGGGTGTTCCACCACTTGAGACTGCTAAATTAAACAGAATGCCGATAACAGAGGGAAAAGCAAGGGAACCTATTGACTTTAGTGTGTGAACCATGATAAGTTTCACGTATCTTACAAACACCTTTGAACTAATGCTTTCAAAGAGAGGTTTTCCAGGGGTTACAATATTTCCAGGAACTTCTCCTATAAAATGTACTTCACCTAGATAGTCCAATCAGTCCTCACTTGTCATCTTTTTTTTTTTATTATTATTCACTTGGGCTTCTTTCCTCTTTCTCATGAACAACACAATCATTGCAGCTATGACTTTTCCAATATTTCATGCACATTATTTTAAATTTAGAATTACGATCATCCATTTGTAGCTCGAAAACACATTTCTGTTAGAGACTGCAAACAGATGTTTCACTTTCACCATCCTCACAAGTTTCATTTATTTTCTTTGATCAATTGCCTTGTCAGTCTGTGGCGTGTGAAAACAACAAGAAGTTGTCTAGCCCAGTGCTTCTCAAGCTTCAATGTGCCTACAGATCACATGGGTCTCTTATTAGAATTCAGATTCGGAGGCTGTAGGTCTGGCCAGGTCTGACATTCTGTGCTTCTAACGAGCCCCCATGGTAGGAGGAGTGGTTTCTCAGTCACTTGGGTCATGTGGGTGTGGCTTTTACATTCTGCTCTACGAAATGAAGTACATTTGGGAACAGATCCAATTTAGATTAAAGTGGGGTTGGGTTTAAAGGGCGTTTCCCCAGAGTGAAAATTTACTTACTTATTCACATTTTTCTTTACTTTAGGATAAGAAGAATACATTTTTCCATTGAGAAGAAACCTCTTTCTCCTAATGTCTGAAAGACAGAGAAGAAACCCCAAACTTGTTTCACAGTTTAAGATGTGTAAAAAAGTGTCTATAAATTTTATTATTGGTATTAATTCCTATCTATAAATTAAGCCAAAGTTATCACAGACTATTGGTAAAGCTTACTAAGCACCTGAAAACAATGAAAAAATAAACTTATTTTTAGTTGTCACAGTTGGGATACTTTGGGCTTCTAATTCAGATTATTTTATTAAATATGTAAAGCATGATAAAACAAAGGCATATTTATTGTCTTTACTTCAAACAAACATAAACCTAAATCTTTCATTAGGGTATCATTATTCATCCATTAAAACAAAACAAAACAAAACAAAACATCCATTCAGCTATGCCTATACAGGTAAGTGAATAAATAACACAGATGAAAAGTCTCTGGCTCAGAAACAGTCGTTTTAGTGCTAGCCTTGGTAGAGTCCTTCATTTTTCTAGAATTTGTCCACTAATTATTAAGCAGCCAGAAGTTTATGGAGAGATAAAAAAATATTTTACTAATACTCCTGGGTTAAAAAGAGGTTAAAAGAAGGGGGAAGATCAATCTCTTCCCCCACCCCACCCCCAGTTGTCAAAAATAATATATATGTAGTTTAAAAAAAAAAAGGAAAATAAAGGAAAAAAAATCTGTAATTCACTTCCTGGAAACAACCATTGATAGCATGTTGATACATTTTAACATTTTAATTCTTTTTTCCTATGAATATGTTTCAGTTTACATGTTTGAAATCACATTTTATACTATTTATATTTATTATCCCTTTTAAATTTTTATTTATGTATTAATTTTAGAGAAAGAAAGGAAGTGTGTGTGGGAGAGAGAGAGAAAGAGAGAGAGAGAGAACATGCATTTGTTGTTCCACCCATCCATGCATTCACTGGTTGACTCTTGTATGTGACCTGACCAGGACTGAACCTGCAACCTTGGCATAGGGAATACACTCTAACCAGCTGAGCTACCCGGCCAGAGCTGAGCTGTTATCCCTTTTAACATAACATCGTATAATTTCCCATTCATTAAAATTTAACTCTAAATAATTATATTAAAATCTTTATATGTTTGTACTAAATTTTGCACTTACTCATCTATTTTTTTATATTTGGGTTTTATTTTTCATTTTATATGTAACTGTTGTGATTTAATTACCACCACCACCTCCAATAAAAAAGGCCCCCCCCTCTCCCCCCCCAGTATTCTGGTTATAACACACCTTTCATTCTCCTTCCTCTCTGGGCTAAGATCACCTTTAAAAACTTCCTCCAGTTTACAGTTCTCAATTCTATTTCTCAGTTTTGATGTAATAAATCAAGTCAGATAAACAAAGATTGTTGACTGGTTATGTCCCTTCCCTACTTAAAAATATTTACACTGTGACACAGTCAATAAGCTCTTGAGTCAAGATCCAAACTTCTCCAGATTTAATATAAAAATTTCCACTTAGCTAATACACACTAGCAGAGATCCTACGTGTAAGCCAATTCCAGCCACCACCGTGTTTATGGAACTCTCACATCACTGGCTACTTCAATAACAGTGTTTGGGGCCAGTGGCTAAAATTGAAGAGATTACACCTTAAGTTAGTCAAGAAATATAACTCCAAAAAATGACCTGGAGTTGGGGTAAAGCATTACTAATCTAAAGATCTTAATCTTGTAAAACTTCTTACCCTCAACCTTTTTGCTTGTATGTTAGGATGACATAGAAAAAGTGCAGTGGTTGGAGAAGATTATTCACTCATTAGAAATGATGTCCTGTTTGCACTTGAGCTCCCAGTGTGACTTTACAAACTTGCTGAGGGGTTTCCTTCCTCTCTTCCACTTGACTACTGCCCCTAATCAAGCTCCCCCCCCCCCCCCCCCGCTTGCCCAACCCCCATCCCAGCTCCCTTCCCAAGCCCCATTCAGTCTCAGACTTGCTGCTTGGACTGGGAGCTCCACGGAGGACTGATTTCTGTTTCCTTGCTAGGGTAACCATCCTTAATCCACTCTGGGGCCCTGGTTCCTTTTGTGGTTAAATTCTGTTCTTTGTTGCCCCATTGCACATCTTCCTAACTGGATTCATGTACAGGCTTATCCATGCCAGCATTATTTATAGTAATGAATAACTGAAGCCATCTAAACACCAAATGTAGAGGATGGTTCTAAAAATTACTACATCTGATGGATCTTTTTTGAGTTTTTAATTTAGTTAGCATTTAAAAAAAATAAAAATTCTTTGAAAACCAGGATTACAAGGACACTTCTTGAAGATGATAAAAATCTATAGTAATCTTAGATTACGGCCATTTTCATAGTTGATGATATACAATAGAAGCATTCCTTCTGAGTCCAGGAATGAAACAAAAATGCTGCTTTCTTTTTCTTCTAAAGATGTTTGCAACTTGCTCACGTTCGTTCTTCATGTTATATGCTCCAGGCCCCAGTAATCCTTGAATGTCCTCAATGTGTGCCAGAGACAGTTGCTATAGATCCTGGGTAACTTAGTGTCATAGGGCTTGCACCCCACTTCTTCATTTGACCAACCAGTCATGGCAGAAGTATCTGTGAGCCACACAGATAAAAGGATTAGAAGTAGAAAGTAAAAAGCCCAAATGATTGGGAAGACTATTTAGCTGCATGAAAGGGGACACAATTTTTCTGAAGAGGCAACTTTTTAGTCTTTTGAAGAAATCTACCCCTTGGTTTATCTTATAACAATATCCTTTATCTTACAACTAAAATACTTACAGAGATAGAAATCATACAATGGGGAGGTTTGTAAAAAAAATACTATCACATTACACATACTTTATAGTCTGCATTTTTTTCACTTAGTCATACATTATGGCCATTTTCCTATGTAACATATGTTTGTCTAAATCATGATTTTATAGGCTCTATAGTATGTCCCGGTATGACAGTACCAAAATTTTCTTAACCTTGTTCCTACTGATGGGCATTCATTTTGTGTCCCAATTTTTCTAAACTTGCTATTTTAGGAAGTATTTCCACCTCCTTCTTCCCATGCAACAAATAGGAAACCCCTTAGATGTTTCTCATAGCCCAGATGACTCTCCTTAATCCTGATAGAAGTCTGCGTGTTTATACCCCAGAAGGAATAAACCAGAAGGACTTTGAATAAAAATAGGTGATCAAGTTGAGAGTCCACCTTGTCCCTTCAAGAGCCCCAATCCCCTGAGTTCCCAGAATATTTCAGCCAGATTCACACACCTGTCTGAAACACACACACACACACACACACACACACACACACACACACACACACGGGACAGGAAATTGGAGGTTAACATGGATGGACCTGGACAACATTATACTAAGTGAAATAAGCAAGTCACAGGAGGACAAATACTGTATGATTCCACCTACATAAGGGATAAAACAAACTCATAGGAGCAAAGAATAGGATGGTGGTGGCCAGGGCTGTGGTGAAGGCATAACGGGGGAGTTACTGATCAACGGTTACACACAAGATGAGTACACGCTAGAGATCTGCTGTACAACATTGTGCCTACAGGTAACAATACTGCATTGCACATCTAAAAATATGTTCAGAGGGTAGCTCTCATGTTAAGTGTTCTTACGACACCAAAATAAAATTTTAAAAAAGTAAGGGGCTAAAATAGATACTAAAACTGTGTGTATGAAGTCTTTGAACAGTGAGCTCACTTAAGGGCTGTTGACTGGTGGTTTTCCTTATACAGGGTACGGTCCAGGGTGTGCCTCTTTTTAGAGAGAATTCCAGCCAGCGACAACTACAGATTTTTGTGTGTGTGTGTGACATGGTGAAACCATGATAAAGTCATGTTTTCAATGTGCATTGAAAGGCGTGGGACAAAGCTTATATTAAAGGAGGAAGGTCGAATACAAACCATACTATAATATGCTGTTTATTCATCAAAATATCAAAATTTATTTCTTACCATGTCTCAGTTACTTTTAGTCTTTATATTCTTACCTTTCAGATGCCTTTTTGATGATAAATGGAAAGGACATATGCGAAATAACAAACCCTTATTTTTTCTGGTGTCTATGCAATAGACGATGCCACTTAGAATGGTAGTAAATTTTGCCTCCTCCCACCTATTTTTCTGTCTAAAGCTGCCTCCAGTAAGCCACTATAATTACAACCAAAAGAATTCTTACTAATACCACCAACTGCCTTTAGTTTTATCTGACTTAATTATAGTGCTTGCTTGGAGCACATGTGTGGGCTAAATGGCTTGCTTCTGGTTTGTAATTCCACATCTCTATAACTAAAAGGGAGACAGTGGGAACTGGCGGGGGGAGACTCATGTCTACCCCTCCCCCCACCCCCAATGGAACCGCCTTCCCTTTAACTTGAAAAATTTCATTGGCAATCTGACAAACCTTGCCTACCTAATTGTAAATGGACCAGAAAAAGGTATAAAGGTAGAGGCATGAAAGGGCTTTCTACTCTGACAATGACACTTGATCAATGCAGAAGTGACAAAGCACAGAGCGACAAGGCAATCAAGGAAATGGTGCTTCAGGCCCGACCAGTGTGGCTCAGTGGTGAGGGTCAGCCTATGAACCAGAAGGTCAGGGTTCGATTCCTGGTTGGGGCACATGCCTGGGTTGCAGGCTCGATCCCCAGTGTAGGGTTGCAGGAGGCAGCCAATCAAAGACTTTCTCTCATCATTGATGTTTCTTTCTCACTCTCCCTCTCCATTCCTCTCTGAAAGCAATAAAAATATATTTTTTTAAAAAAAGGAAAATGGTACTTCGAGAAACGGTATGCTGGCCTAACACATCACAGTGTCTCACGTCAATCTTTGGATTCTTCAGGTCTGGAATTGCTCTAAAGCTATAATTCAAATGGGTGGGCTGAGTGTGGTAGTTAGCTATCCCACAACGGCAGAAACGTCCGTCTGTTTGTTCAGCTGTCCCTCATGTGCCTGGCACATGATCGGCATTCAATAAACTTTAGTGCATGAAGTCATCCTTTTGTGGGTTTATAAGCTCAAACAAGGTCTGACTCTAATGTAGTCCTGCAAATGTCATTGCAGGACAATTCTCAGTCCACCGTCCATCAAAGTAAAGAGGGGGAAAATGAAAGTATTTTATTTTTCAAAGGAACGCAGCCAGTCCTGGGGTCAGCCTATCAAACTCTAACAACAACCCTCATCGCTCTTTATTAACCTGTGGCCTGGGACATGTGCCCAGGGGAGCTTCAAGGGAGCCAAAGAGCCACGAGAGCTGGTGGGAGTGAGGAGCGGTGGGCTCTGTGAGGGGGCGGGGGGGGGGGGGGGTCAGACAGTGTCTCCCTCTGTCATTCACATCGAATGTCTCTGACTTAAAGAGCTGCTGCCATTTCTCTGTTGTCTTGGCTGACCCAGGAAATGAAGTCTTTGAACAGTGAGCTCACTTAAGAGAGAAATCTCCTCTTTATGCAAAGCCCAGAGACACTGCCAGGACAGCAGCTGCTCCTGCGATGCAGTTAGCCGGGTTCTTTTCGGAGCGGTTGGAAAGAATCCTGTTATCACCAGCATTTTCAATGTGATTTCACCTTCATGCGTCATGTAAGATTTCTGGGCTGTGGTGTATTCAGCCACAATAAGCTTAACCTAGAATGAT